AGCAAGGGACAGACACAGTAACAAAAACTATGATTCAAGATAATTTTTCTAACGTTAAAAAAAGATTCAAAGTGACATATTGAAAAGAAACATCATACCTAAAAAAATTTCCCTACAATAAATACCAAAACATGTCCTAGTAAAATTAGTGGTCCTTTGTTTAAAAAATAAAAAAGAGAGACTTTGAGAACCATGTAGTCCAAATCTCCTAGTTATTGTTATTTTATTTTTTAAATATGTTTTTATTGACTTTAGAGAGAGAGGAAGGGAGAGGGAGAGAGAGATAGAAACACGGCCCCTACTGGGGATCAAGCCCATGACCTGGGCATGTGCCCCGACCCAGAATCAAATCAGCATCCTCTTGGTGCGTGGGTCAATGCTCAGCCATTGAGCCACACCGCCAGGCTCCTAGTTCTTTTTTAAAAGACTTAGAAATAATAACCCAGAAGCAATGAGCCTCTCTGTTACCTTATTTTTGGCCTTGAAACATTGCTAACCACTAAAAGAAACCAAGTTTCTTGAGGAAATAGTTACTTCCTGGTCTGAAGAATAAAATACATGAGATGTGCTCAGAACATGTCACATCAGAGAGCAAGGAAGCATTTGGAAACTAATAGCACCATCAACAAGACTCAGCAGAGCCCTGGCCGGTTTGGCTCAGCGGTTAGAGCATCCACCTGCGGTCCGGAGAGACCCGGGTTCGGTTCCCGCTAAGGGCATGTACCTCGGTTGCAGTTTGTCCCTGGCCCTGGTTGGTCGTGTGGGTGGCAGCCACTCAATGTGTCCCTTTCACATCGATGTTTCCCTCTCTCTCTCTCTTCCTCTCTCTCCCTCCCACTCTGTCTGTACAAAAAATGGAAAAATGGCCTCGAATGAGGATAAAAAAAAAAAAAAAAGATTCAGCAGAAAAACTGAAGAGAATTCCGCAGGCCAAAGGAAAAATTTGAGCAGCAAAAAGATAACGGCAATGGACTGAAACACATAGACTCTGTTTAAATTAGTGAGAGTATAAAGATTCTAAAGAAAAATAAATGGTCACCTTTGGAGGATAATAAAAAACCAAAATATTATTTTCAATATTAGAAAACGACAGGACTGAGTTTTGATTTGAACTGTGGTGGATACATGAACCTATGCATGCAATCAAATCGCATCGAACTAAATGAATTATATACATACGAGTGAGTATTGGCAAAACTGGGAACTCTAAGATCAGTGGATTGCATATGGCAGTGTGCACTATCTTGAGTGTGATGGTGTAGTATAATTTTGTGAAATGTTACCACTGGGGGAAACTGTATAAAGGGCACAGAGGATCTCTCTATAATAGATCTTACACTCTTACAACTGCATGTGAATCTATAATTATCTCAAAATAGATTTAATAAAAATCTTCATTAGCATGGATAATATATTACTGAACATATTCTTGGAAAATACATTTTTAATGAACATATTTCACTTGTGAATGAGAATATATATGTGAGAGTTCGTTCGTATACGTCTCCTTTCTTCCTTCCCTCGGCCTCCTGCTGGGCTATGTCGGCAGTGCGCAGGTATAGCGGGGTGACTACGTAATGTTCGTTACAGGTTCACATCGCTTTGCTGAAATTGTAGGGTTGGTTTTAGTAAAATATTTGAATTTGCTTAAAAACCCATTTCTGCCAAGTTGATTATGCCTAATGATGAGTAACCATAATGGTTGGTAACTGGTGATGATGTTGACAGTAATGACTGAGGCAGTTTTGATGGTAATGATGGTGATGGTAATGAGGATGATTGGGTTGTTGTTCATGAAATACCTGAATGTGAGCATTAGATTCTAAGTTTCCCAAACTGCAAGAACACTCTATAAAAGAAAAATGATCACACCTGGGAGACAAAACGTGATTAGCAGCAAAGGGGTAAACCAAGGCTAATTGCTCCTTTAGTAAGGACTCCAGGCCCTGAAGTGACAGCCTCCCATGAGAGGTTCTGCCCATATAAACAGACGCCCAGGTCTCCCAACCTCAGGGCCTCATTTCTTATGACTGTGATAGCTCCTCTGAGGAAATTTAGGACTAGAAATAAATCTGTATGTTTCTCTCATTTTTCTGATATTGATTTCCTGTTTGTTGAAACCAAGGCATCCAGGAGACTATTCCATTTTTCCTCAGCACAGGTATTTACAGATTTAAAGCAATTTTATAAAAAGAAACTATTCTTTCATGAACTGTTTTTAGTGTGGGATATTTCCAACCATGTGTCCACCTTCACCTCTGAGTGTTTTTTCTGTCTGTGCTGTGTTCTCATCGACAGCAATCCTGAGCCTCTGTTGGTCTGGCAAAACTAGAGGTAAAAACTTATATCAAATATATGGGTCCTATTTGCCTACTTATGTCATTAGATGACCATGGGAGTAAAAATGAAAACAAGGCTGTCTAGGGTTTTCCCATCTGCACTTTGAATTCTGGTGATGATATATCAGGTGGATTTTCTATCTTTCTGATTGTTTTAAGAGGTAGAAGGAATATGTAAGGATGTTTAATCTACTGTTATCTAGAGGGTGTTTATTTTCGTCTTTGTAATAAATGAAAATAATATTCAAATAATCTTAGCTACCTCTGGTAGTAGTTACTATGAAGTTAAATACCTCTTAAATACTTTACCACTGATAACTTAACAAATAAAGTTCAAAATGCAATGCAGATTTTATTCTCTTTAACCACACCCTAAGCATTTAAAGACTTTTACACCTAAGAGAAAGAAATACAGTTAGTGCTGGAGTTAGTATTATGGAACCCAAATGAGACAATGTATTTTAAAGTGCTACATTAAAACACAGGTTAAAATGGTTTTCAATATACATAGATACTTATACAAATGTAAATACATAAGTGTGTTGAAAAAATCTAGAAGGGTAGTTACTACCAACGTTTGTCTCCAAGGAGCAGGAAAAGTGGTATGTGATTTTTGCTTATTTGTAATTCTAATTGGCTGCAAGGCACATATACTACCATGGTAATTTTCTTGGATGTACCTGAAATCGGCAGTTAAATCTTTCCTCTACCTCCACAAATGCAGTAAATCAAGTTTATTAGATGATACTATATTTCTGCACAAAGCTAAGCTTCAGCAGAACAACCTAACTTATTGGAACAAAGCAGACTGGTGACCAGAAGTTCTAGGGTGTAGGCCCAGTTCTGCCTCTTGCTACTGGATGCTAGGGTGATTTATTTAACTTTTAGAGCTTCAAATTCCTAGAGAATGGAACACATAACATAGCCTTCGTATTTTTTCCATGCCACGTACAAGCTAAGACATCAAGCGTAAAGCATGTTTAACTACAACATTTCTTAGAGCTGTAGGCGTGTGGATACATAAGGCTACGCACTTGGGCCAAGGGAAGAAGCTAATGATCGAGAGAACAGTCTGAGTCCCAAGTCCCAGTAACTTAGTGTCTGGCACTTCAGTTTTCTCAATATGAAAATGAGAATAAAAATCCTACTCTAAATACATTTCTCCTCATGCCCGAAAATTTAGGAGGAGTTCATAAGATGGACCTGTGAAGAACATTATAGAAAAGTTAGTAATTGCATAAGGAAGCATTAAACTATGAGAGTTTATGGTTTTTAGCTTAAGAAATACATGTAAGAGACAGTATGTCCACAGGTATCATATCCAGCAATGATGGTCCATGCTTCGTGGGTTACTTTGCCAGAAGGTAGATAATGAGGCATGGTTTAATATTATGATCTAGAGACAATAATGATAATAATAACAGTAATAATAATAATAATAACGGCTACTGGACACTCACTCTGGATTAGACTGTGTGCCAGGGCCCAGGCTACACTGCAGATCAGTTAAGTCAGGACCTCTATTATCCCTTACTTTTTAAATGTTTCAGGTAGTTATAACATACAGTCAGTGTTGAGAACCACGGTCTTGTGGCCTCAAGTTCAGTGAAAAATGAAGAACAAATTCTAGACACCTAATGACAACTCACATTTTTTTTTTTTTATCCTCACCCGAGGACATTTTTCCATTTTTTGTTCAGATAGAGTGGGAGGGAGAGAGAGGAACAGAGAGAGAGAGAGAAACATCGATGTGAAAGGAACACATCGAATGGCTGCCACCCACACGACCGACCAGGGCCGGGGACAAACTACAACCGAGGTACGCGCCCTTAGCGGGAACCGAACCTGGATCTCTCCAGACCGCAGGCCAACACTCTAACCACTGAGCCAAACCGGCCAAGGTGACAACTCACATTTTTATAGAAATTGAGTACTTGAAAAAAAATGTCTGAATACGTGGTATCCAAGATTAGGTTTACAATCACTTTGGGAATTGATACTCCTAACTTCTTCATTTGCTGGTTACAAAAATCGATTTGTACTCCAGGATACAGGCATAGCTACTGTATCGTCCTTGGCACTGCCTCAACTTGAGATAGGCATTCAGACATTCATATTCAGGAAATATTTAGGAATTGCATAGATGACAGTGAAATCTTATTTTTTAAGGAAAGTACCTCTCCAACTACAAAATACAAAATGTACTGCTTGTTACCTGCAGGGTAGCAGCTCTCGGACTTGATCATGCATCAGCATCGCCTGGAGAGAATGTTAGACCCAGACTGCTGGGCCCCATCCCCACAGTTCCTGACTTGGTGGGTGAGGGGTGAGGCCTGGGAGCTTGCAGCTCTCACACTCCGGTGATGCTGCTGGGGCTAGTCCGAGGACTGCACTCGAAGAAGCAGTGCTCCAGGATCTTTGTGAGTAGAGGTGTTAAACGATCCAGATCTTGGCCCCTTTTCTCCTCTCATCTCCTTGATTTTTGAAACACCCAGGACCTGCTCTTCCTCTCGGCAAACTGCGGGGTGAGCAATGGATGCATCGAGAAAGAGCCGGGGTCGTTCAGCCGGCTCCGAGCGCTCAGGGCTTCACCAAGCAGTCCGGGAGGCAGCCTCTCACGGGGTTCTCTCTTATCCCCGCAGGGCTCCCCAGTAAAGAAGAATGGCCGTCGAAAATCACTCCACAGTGACAGAGTTCATTCTCAAGGGCTTAGCAAATCCCCCGGAGCTCCAGCTCCCCCTCCTCCTCCTCTTCCTCGGGGTTTACTGGGTCACCGTGCTAGGGAACCTGGGCATGATAACACTGATCCGTCTGAACGCCCAGCTCCACACCCCCATGTACTACTTCCTCAGCAATCTGTCCCTCGTGGATCTCTGCTACTCCTCTGTCATCACCCCTAAGATGCTGCTGAACTTCGTGTCCGAGAAGAACAGCATCTCCTACGCGGGGTGCATGACACAGCTCTACTTCTTCCTCGTGTTCGTCATCGCCGAGTGCTACATGCTGACAGTGATGGCCTACGACCGCTATGTTGCCATCTGCCGGCCTTTGCTTTACAACGTCATCATGTCTCGTGGCGTCTGCTCCCTGCTGGTGGCTGTGGTCTACGTCATGGGGCTCACCGGCTCAACCATAGAGACGGGCCTCATGTTAAAACTGCCCTACTGTGAGGTCCTCATCAGTCATTACTTCTGTGACATTCTCCCCCTCATGAAGCTCTCCTGCTCCAGCACCTATGATATTGAGATGACAGTCTTCTTTCTGGCTGGATTCAACATCATAGTCACCAGCTCAGCGGTCCTTTTCTCCTACGCCTTCATCTTCTCCAGCATCCTCCGCATCAGCAGCGCGGAGGGGCGGTCCAAAGCCTTCAGCACCTGCAGCTCCCACCTTGCCGCTGTGGGGGTGTTCTATGGATCTACTGCATTCATGTACCTGAAACCGTCCACAGCCAGCTCCCTGGCCCAGGAGAACGTGGCCTCTGTGTTCTATACCACAGTGATCCCCATGCTGAACCCCCTCATCTACAGTTTGAGGAATAAGGAGGTAAAGGCTGCCATGCAGAAAACATTGCGGAGAAAAATGTGTTGATGCAACGGTTATTATTCTTCCTCGGTTTAAAAGTACATTGTTATCTATATCAGCAAGAAGCCCTTTGAAGGCCCAACCACAGTGGGAACCGTCACTTTTCTGCATGGTTGGGTGAATACCTCCTTTGCTTCTCCCCTCTTCCTTGCACCCATCTCTCTACCCTCACTGCTTTCTTTTTCATCCTCACCTGGGGATATGTTTATTGAGCTTAGAGAGAAGGGAAGGGGGAGAAAGAGAGAGAACATCAGTTGGTTGCCTTTCGTATGCACCCCGACCAAGGGTTGAACCTGCAACCTGGGTGTGTGCCATGACCGGTAATCGAACCCACAACCTTTTGGTATATGGGACAATGCTCCAACCAACTGAGCCACACTGGCCAGGGCTTTCCTTGCTTTTTTTTTTTTTTTTATCCTCACCCGAGGACATTTTTCCATTTTTTGTTCAGGTAGAGTGGGAGGGAGAGAGAGGAACAGAGAGAGAGAGAAACATCCATGTGAAGGGACACATCGAATGGCTGCCACCCGCAAGACCGACCAGGGCCGGGGACAAACTGCAACCGAGGTACGTGGCCTTAGCGGGAACCGAACCCGGGCCTCTCAGGACCGCAGGCCGACGCTCTAACCGCTGAGCCAAACCGGCCAGGGCTTTCCTTGCTTTTTGAAGCCAGCTGATTTCAAATTCACATTTTCTTTCATTTGTGATCAATTTTCTCTGTCCTGAGCCCTTTGCATTGAGTTTGAGTCACACATTGTTTTATTACCTTTAGACAGAAAATATTACTCAACCCAATTCTTACTTTTTTTCTTTTTTTGCATTTAGGAGTACACAAGACAAAGAGAGGTAAACTTGAAAGCCACCAAGAAGTGATGAGAAGAGCCCCTTTCTCATCTAAAGTCATACTCTCCTCTCATTCCTGCCCCAAAACTTCTGCTGATCTCTTTATGCAATTTCTTAGTAACAATAACCAAAACAACAGCTGTTAACATGGTTTTGGTGCCCACATTGAATCATGAAACTGTTCTAAATGCTTTATATGTATTATTTTAATTACACATCACTATAAATATGTACTATTGTTATCCCCATTTTACAGACATGGAAACTGGGTTTAGTCACTTGTTCAAGGTCACATAGCTGGTGAACAAAGACACTGGGATTTAAACCCAAGCCTAAGTGACTCCAGAGCCCCCACTCCTAGCTCTCAGTCACCCCCTTTGCTTTAGGCTAACACTCCCTTTGAAGAGCCTATTATGCCTGCTTAATTATGCTCTTCCGATTTCAAATGCCTCCTGAAAATAATTTCCCAGACTCCCACTTTTATCATCCGCCTAGCCTAGCCTCTTCCCATTTATATATATATTAAAAATCTCTTCAAGATCATTAAGAAAAGATTACACTACAGTGACCAACTCAGTCTGGTTTTCGAACAGAAGTCCCACATCCCGGGAAACCTCTCGATCCCAAACAAACCAGAGCACTTGCTCATCGTAGGTCACACGAGCTGCAGAATCTCTTTCCTGCTGAAATAACAGATTGATCTACTGCCAGCCTCACTCAGTAAATCCAGGGGTCATGGGACAAAGTTCCTCCCTGCTCCCCTTGTTTATAAGACATCAAGGATACTGGTTTTACACTTAGCAGCCTGATACAGTGCAAAGGCTCTGCGGACATCCTCTCCTCATCTCCAGCTATTTGGAGTGCAACGTTGTATCAATCAGTGGTTTATTATGGGAAACAAAAATAACTCGTTTTCTCAAGCAGAAAGAGATTTCATACAGAGAATGACTTGCTTACAGTTTATTGAATGACTGAAGAAGGGGGGAGGGAGCCCCCAAAGCGACTCCACAATAGATATGGTCAGGAAGCTCCTGCTGCCACTGTGACATTGGCCACCATGGAAAATGCCTCGCACACTCACAAAACTGGTAACTAAACAACTGAACTGTAGTTTGAGTATCACGTGGAAATGTGTTGGGGCCCAGCAATCTGTGTTTAATCAGCCCTGGGGTGACTCCGGTGTGTACTGAAGTGTGAGAGCCACGTCACTTCTACCCTTCAAATCTCTTGCAAATGCACCTAGTTCGGGGAAACTGATCACATCCAGGGCTCTGGGATGTGTACTTTTCAGCTTTCTGTCCTGAGGACAAGCAGGGTGAGAGGGTTGTTGCTATTATTGCCAAGTGGCTACTCTACCCCTTTTTCCTGACTTTCCTCCAGCAAGGACTCAGACCTCAACCACGACAGATCCCTCTAATTAGAAGAAAATGTGGGGAAATCTTTGTTATCTAAAGATGAGAAACCATAGAGCCAGGTAAATTGCTGAGTTTGATAACATTAAAAATCCAGATTTGTGTTCAGTAAAGTACACCGGGGATAGACTTAATAGAAAGCTAACAAAATGGAAGAAGGTATTTAACCAGCATATATTAGAAACTTCAACATCAACTAAAATAAAATGGGCCCAGTATCTAGAACGATTTACAGAATAGAAAACCTGAAGTGCCGCTCAGCCTATCAGGAGATGCTCAAGCCTATTGCTAATCAGAGAAGCAAAATAAAACAAGATGTATCTGTACACCCACCATTGAGCAAATAAACAGATACATTGTAGTAGAGACTTTGCAACAAAGGATTAGCTACAGGCAACATAGTGTAGAGCCTTGGTGCTGTGTGAGAAAAGTAAGAAAGATGAGATATAAAATACAATGTTATCTATGTACATTAAAGTTACACACACACAAACCCGAAAAAAGGATATTTGGAAAACAAAAAAACGAATAAAATACTCATTAGTCAGGTTAGAATGGTTACCTAGAGAGCTAAGATGTGAGGAAGTAGGGAGGGAGAAAAAGAGAAACAAAAGCAAAAATTCCTTGGCCGAGACCCATGCCCAGGTGCACCAGGTAACACACCCAAGAAGCTCTGCGTCAGAGCTGACCACTCACGTTGAGTAGGGAGACAGGTGGGCCTACCTTGACGTTGTGGGGCCTGAGGAAAGACTCTATCTAGAAGTTAAAAATCAAGCTGACAAAATGCTATTTTCTCCTTCCTATCTTGACAAATAAACCGTCATAATAGAGAAGACCCTGTTCAAATGTAGAAGTCTGAGAATTCTAAGAGTTCCACCCTGGAACGAAAAATGCCAGTGTTGACATAGGAATGTCCAAATCAGTAGAGAATTTTTATGAGTTTATTTGAGCCCAAACACAACTGCTGGGAAGCAAGATCTCAAATGCTCCTGGAAAATGACAGTGTTGCAGCTTTTTTTGTGCACTTACAATTAAGGAGGGCACGTAGGAGAGGTGACAGGAAGGCGGGAGAAAGCGAGGCGGGGAAGGATCCAGGATAGCTAAGCTGATGTGCTCTGTTGAGAGTGCGCACACTTACTTCGAAGGGGTGTCCAGAAACAGCTGACAGGGCTCGCTTACAGCGAAGATAAACCTTTACGAAACAAAGTGATATGTCTGGCATCCAGTTGGGAATTTATGATCAGATCATCCTGTGAGGGTACTTTCTGTAGAACCTCTTTTCCATCTGCAAGACAAAGGTTCTTCCTGGTCCCCAGCCCCCCACCCACAGCCACGGTGCCCCACTCCACTTCCCATTCTCAGTTTGGTCCCACTCCACAAGTGTGGACATGGCCTGTTTCCAAGCCCCATGCATACCCCCTGCCCCCAGCCAGCCCTTTGGTCCAGGAGTGAACCACCAACTGGGTGGTCTGCCTTTGGTGGGATGGGCCTCAGGAAGAACTGTAGAAGCAGGTACGGGGTATGTGGGGAGGGATTCTGGTATCCATCACTGAAAGCAGAGTCCAGAAGGACATGCATAGGTTCTGGCTGGATTTGCTCACCCACTGGGAAGGGACACAGCCAGAGGAGGGCTGAGGACAGGGCACCTTTTGCCAAGTCTCAGATGCCACTATGAAGAGAGATGACCTTTGCTCATATGTCCTCCTATAGCTGTTTCTTCCGTCCCCAACTAAGATAAAATGTGTGTTCCTCATCAATGTGAGAACCGTCTGAATCTACAGAGGATATTCATAAGTTTATTTTAGCCAGAACTGATGACAATTACTAGGAAGCAAGATCTAAAACGCTTTGCTGTGGTACATGTACACAATGGAGTACTATGCAGCTGTAAGAAAGAACGATCTCTTATCCTTTGAGACGACATGGAGGGACCTGGAGAGTATTATGCTAAGCAAAACAGGCCAATCAGAGAAAGACAAATATCACATGATCTCACTTATTTGTGGAATATAATGAACAAAACAAGCTGATGAACAAAATAGACCCAGAGGACTTCCGGTCAAGATGGCAGCGCAGGTAACCGCGGTATCGCGTCCTCCCACAACCACATCCAAGTTACAACTAAACTACAGAACAACCCTCATTCAAAACCACCTGAAATCCAGCTGAATGGAAGTCCTGCAACTACAGAATTAAAGCAGCAGCCACATCCAGACTGGTAGGAGGCGGACGGGCTGGTCCCACACCCACGTGTGGCGGATAAAAATCAGGAGGACACCTCGGCTGGGAAGGTCCTTCCTGAGGACTGAGGGGTCCCCGTCCCACACCAGGTGCCCCGCTCAGGGTTCCAGTGCCAGGAAGAGAATCCCCATCACTTCTGGCTGGAAAAACCAGCGGGAACTGAGGCTCAGGGAGGTTGAAGCAGCTGGAGCCCCAGGCAGCTCCTTAAAGGGCCTGCGCACGGACTTATCGGACTCTCTCCCTCTAAGCTTGGAGGGGAGGCAGCTCGAGGGGCGCCAGAGACATACAGGGAAGAACTGAGCTGTTTGGCACTGGACCGAGGGCTGGAGAGGGGGCTTTCTCTGGGACAAACGTGCTGTCGGAGGCCTTTGTTCCTTTGGTGAGCCCCCCTGGGGCAGCAGACAGCTGCCATATCTGGGACTCCAGCAACCTGGCTCACACTGGTAGCCCCGCCCTGCTGACTCCCTGAGGCCCCGCCCCATCCAACTTTCAGGCCCACCCAACTTTCAG